ATTTCAAAAACCCTTCCTCATTTTGCCAGAAAGAGAAAAGAGAATCAGATTTGTTGCATCCCCTGCCCACTAAAGTCAAAGTCCTAGCCCTTTTCTATTCTTTCTTTTATGTAGTTCCTGGTTCTGTCGCTCTTCAGTCTTTTATTCCCAAGTATCCAAGATTCAGATTTATCTTAGTGTCCGCTTCCCCATGGCTAAGCCCTGACGAGCTGCTTACAGGAATGCGGTGGCCCCCTAGGCCCCGCACCTGCAAGTCTCACTGCTTCTTTTCCTCTGTTCTGACTCTAACTTGTTTGCAGCAGCATCCCCAGTGCCTGGCATGGACTAGGTACTCATCACAGCTAATGAATATGTTAAATAAATAAATGAAGGGGGCTGTGAGCTTTCATGGACTCCCCCACCCCCTACAGTGACTGCATGATCTGCTCTAGAGCAAGGATTCAATACAATATTTGACGAGTCCATCAGAGAACCTATTAAGTGAATCAAAATGTCAGTGGTCCTTCAGTGGCCACTTCAAGCTTTCCTGACAACTCCAGCTAGCCATGGTCTTTCCTTCCTAGCCACCCTTGTGTCTATTGAGTGTTTTTATAGATGATTATGGTGCTGTTTGTGATGTAGTGCACACGAGTACTGTATTTGCATGTCTGTGTGCCTTACCTCCCTGTGATTGCACACTCTACCCAGGGCCTAATTTTTGTGGAGTTTGAAGCGTATACCACTTTGGAAGCTCTTAATTGCAAATAGAAATTAGATACAAAAGTGAATTTTTTAAAGATGAGTTATAACAAATTATAACTTTTACAAAGCTGATAAATACCACATGCATCATAAAGTAAAAAATAAGATTTCTGTTCATTAGCTGCCTGTCACATTTCTATAATTTTCTCCTACATTTTTGTCTGTATAATCTCTAATAGCCCCTTCATATAACAATGATTTTGCAATGTCATTTTCTAGAGAGATTAGAAAGATAGTTCAGTGTTTTCTTAGCGTGGTCGATTGGTGTTTTTGTTATATGTAGTTGCGTGTGTACCATGTGCGCTACCTCATACCCAGGCATTTTCATTTTCTGTAGCGCTGCTATCTCACAGGCCCCATAAACACAGGGGTTTCATTTTGTGAGATTTTCATTTAAAAAGCTAGTGTACCTATAATTGTATATACTGCATTACCAAGTATTTTCCTAACAGGAGACAAGTTTGGTTTTGCCTGGGTATTGACAAGAACCAAACCCTCTGCTTATAGTTGTGCATGCCTGGTAATCGGAATAATTTTTCAGACTACCTCTGGTTTCACCCCTTTTAAACCATATCTCTTCTCTTCCAGGTGCTTTTGGTTCCAGAGCCTTATGATACTTTCCTATCAGTCAGTCCCTGTTCCTGGGTGTTCATGTCTACTGCTCTTTAAATTATGTCTCATGCCAGCAGACACAGTGTCTGGTGTCTCTTCTTGACAAGTGTTTCTCTCTGGGTCTGCTTTTGACAGTTAATCACTGCCAACAGTTAATAACTGTTGGCATTTCATGGATCTGTATCTTTAGGAAGTCAAAACAGAATAAAATCTGCTTTTAAATTCTCTTCTGACCCAGACACAGTCCATGTTGACTAATTCTCGGGATGAGATAAGATATATTTCTCCCTTATAAGCAAGATGGGCTAATTAAACATGGTGCTGACAGCTTTGGCTCCTAGGCCCTGTAAGAGCATTTGGTCTTTTAATTATTGAGCTGAGCCTGGTGTCCTAGTATGAGAAGTCCAGTTATACAAATTGAATAACTATAAGCACTAATAGTAGAGGGCCAGGAGTAGAAGATGGAGTGCTGCAAAGGACTGGATGGGGACCCTGGGGGTTGTGTCATCTTGGTTAAAAACCTTAGACTCAAGTCAGACGGACCTAACTCCTGCCACTAACTGCCTGTGTAATTTTGGGCAAGTCACTTAATACCTTTTGAGCCTCAGCTCCCCAATTGTGAAATGCAGAGAATACTACATGGGGCTGTGAGGATTCACGCATGTAAAGCATATAGTAAGCACTTCAGAAATGTTAGGCATCATTTCTTTACTACTAACATTTCTCTCTCTTCTAAGTCCATCCAGAGACCTAGATATCTGCTGTCTTTGGTTGTTTAAACCTTTTCCCAGACTCCAGCTTCTTTTGCTGTTTTTCAAAACATCTCTTTTTGACAGCGGTGGCCGGAGCTTGGCCATTTTCATTTTCTGCCCGTCGTCCCTAAAAGCAGCATTTGGTACATCGTAATGCCTCTCATTCATTTAGTGATCTACTGTTTACAGTGTTTTCTATGCTGTATTGCTCAGTCTTCAGAGAAGCACGTTCCAACCATGGTGTGTCACCAGAGTTCAATGTGCTCGACCTTTCTGTCACCTCTCGCCAAGCTTGTGCTCGGCAAGGCCACCACACCACCACACTGGTGGCTCCTCCCTCGGAAATGCCTGGCTGTCTTTGTTTGTTATTCCAGTCTCACCGTGGGGTCACCTCTGCAGGGAGGCCTCTGGCCCATCCCCTCAGTCATTCTCTATCTTAGCATTTTTATTTTTAAAAAAACTAATTTTCTCTCTTTTTTCTTTAAAATAAGTTTTTATTGATTTCAGAGCGAGGAAGGGAGAGGGAGAGAGAGAAACATCAATAATGGGAGTCATTGATCGGCTGCCTCCTGCAGGCCCCCCCAACATGTTGGGGATGCAGCCCGAAACCCGGGCATCTGCCCTGACTGGGAATTGAACTGGTAATCTCTTGGTTCAGGGGTTGACACTTAACTACTGAGCCACACCTGCTGGGCTTAGCATTTTAATTGATTATTTCCAAAGTACTTTTTACATCTGATATTTTACTTTTTAAAAAAATTCAATTTCTCACACTAGAACACAGGCTTTGTGAGAGCAGAAGTGTTCTCTGTTTCCTTAAGGAGTACATTCTCAAAAGGGGTGCCTTGTCCCCAAGGGGCAAAATTGGTTCTGGGGATGTGTGTGTAAAAAAATCTCTCTTTTTATGTATAAAGCACAGATTTATATAGTGTACATAAACACATATATATATATGTTTATACCATGTATATATTCATATATATATATATACCATATATGGTATAAAAGTTTGAGAGGCATAATTAGGATAAAATATCTAAAAAGGCTTCTTAGGGGAGCAACAATGAAAAAAAGGCTGAGAGCACGGCTTTGCAGTATAGAACAGTGCTGAGCACAGGTTGGACTCATAAATAACATTTTCTGATTGACTGAATCATGCCTTTTAATAGCTGGAGAGACTGAGGTGCAGAGAGGTGAAGGAGCTAGTCTCAGGACATAAAGGTGATAGATGGTAGAACCGAATTTCCAACCTATTTCTTGGGTTTTGGGCTTTTTATTGTAAGCCACTCAGTAAATACTCAATATACACTCTTTGAATTGACTTGACTGTATTAGATATCCACACAAGAAGAAGCAAAGCCAATTTATATTTTCTAAGCGACACAACAAATGGTTTCAGAAAGTCGACCTATTCAGAAGGGTCCAGCTAGTCTTCTCTGGGGGCATTGATGACGTGTTATGCATGGCTCATCTTTGAAATGGGAGTCACTTCCATCTCCTACTCTTGGTAATGTAAGAGTGAAGAAGTGAGCAATATTTTTAGTGTCTTAGTAATTGTTTCACAGCATCCCTGGGCCAAAAGAAATAACTGGTAATTCCATTTATTAAGTAATTAGGTCCAAATGGCTTCATTAAGTATTCATGTCCTAAGAATTTAGGGCCTGTTGATCACAGCATACCTTCTCAAGCCTTGGAATTGTATTGGACACCACCACCCTCATTCCCTGTTCCGCATTTATTTTCAAATGCTACTTACTTTCATCACAGCAACTACCGAAAACCCAGCTTTGAAAAGATTGGGTCACTGGGAGCAGTATAATAATATAGTGTTGAAAATGAACTACCTTGAGCTAGTAGTTTCTGACAGATGTTGCTGTGAAAATTTAAAACATCCTGAGACACACTTGTGTGTTCACTGTGGCAGGCAAAGGTGCCTAAGCACACAGTTTAGGAACTGTGGCAGTAGACCAGGGCAAGATGCGATGCTGGCTTGAGGGAAATAAATAAGCTAACAAAAATGATTCCTTAATTTGATCCAATTTTTAATACTATCATTAGCCTTCAGGGGGATATCATTTTTCAGGTGTGTGGCTTTTTTGTTTTAGTGTTTGTTTTCCCCTGTTTTTGTCTGCGGTCCCGTCTGTCTGGCACTGAGAGCAAACCAGGCTTCAGTCGTTGTGCAGCAGCTGCAGATGGGCCTGCTGTCAGCAGCCCCAGCACGGCCTCTGGGGATGGGGGACTAAGTGCTAGTCTTAGGTCTCAGGGGAGGGTGCTCTGTGAATTTAGATAACCTGTTTTCCCCCTGTAGTAATACGCACTTTAATTTTTAGCTTTATACATCTTCTTCTACTGTTCTGTGGATCCCTCGGTTTTCGAAGGTTTCAGAACTCCAGCGGTCTTTCATAACAGATTACATCGAAAACCGAGGCACCACCATAGAAGTTATTCTCTTGGACTGTCTTGGGCATCCAGCAACCTGGGTTCTGGTTCTGGCTCCTTTGAGAATCTACAGTTACGGACCATCCTACTGGCTAAGTGGATGAACTTTTGCATATAGCATAACGGGGTTCATGGATCTCCTGAAGAGGTAAAAGGATCTCAAGTTAAAAATTTCTGTAGAAATGAGAAGGCTCACAGCAGCACAGGGATACAAGTGTTAAATGAGATTACTCATGAAGCACCTTTAAAGAACTAGGACAGGTGTTTTGGGGGAGACACAGTGTCTAAGGAATTCCTGAAAACCATATTCTTTCCCACAAGGTAGCTCTGCCCGGCCGTTGCTATGGACGCTTGCCTTCTCCAATCATCGCGCGGCTTGCTAGGCTGTGCGGGGGGCCGTGGTTGCTGTGGCAACCGATGGCAACAGCTCCGGGCCGAGGGCGCGGGAAGCGAGTCCGCGGCTTGGAGCCGGGTGGGGCGGCCCTAGATTGCGGTGTCTGTGAGTTGGTGCGGGATCTCAGAGGGGAACGGGCACGGAACTGACGGGGTGGGAGCGCACCTGGGTCCAACAGAGGCCCCTGCAGGGAATATGGGGTCACAGTGTTCCCGCCCTTCATGTTCCCGCCCTTCGTCTCCAAGTTTCCCAGGACCTCCGCCCCAGCTGCCCCGGGTCTCTTCTTCTTCCTCCCATTAAAATAGCAGAACCTCCGATTTCTGTTCTTGGGGTTCCCCAGCCAGACAGGTAGCTAGCGCCAGGCGTTGGCCAGAAGGATAGGGGACACGGGCGTTCGCCTTTCTTCTAACTTTTAGGTATGAGGCCTTGGGGGAGGGGGGAATCATTTTCTCTATTTCCTCACCAGGAAAATG